TGTAACTCCCGTTTAGACAAAGCATCTGGCTCTATATTAACTCGTTTGCACAGGAAAGAGGAATATCTTGGCCGAACGCCACAGCGCAGATAAATGCCGACACTAGACATCACTATATGATGAAATGAATGTATTATTCTGTACAGAAACAAGCAGATGAAACCAGCAACATGTCGGTCAGTAACACCTGTCGGGCTCTACCTGGACCTGCGGGATATCACGATGTGGAGCACTAGTCCACGTCACGTCAAGTTTGGAAGATAAGGAGGAAAAAAGAGAGACAACGTTAAACTTTTACCTTTTGACCTCAGCCACAAAGTTCTTCAAACTTTTCTACCGGTCATTTTCCACCTGGAATTCCTGCATTTCATCCACGAGTCGGTCTTTTTGAGGGGGGGTTTGAGCGGAGGGCACCTGTTGCTGTCTGAACGATGAATCCCTCTCAACTGTATCCAAGTTTACACCTGGAGAGCAATTCCAGTGACTACAGCGCCTCCTAGCGGCGCGGATGCCTCTGTGCGACACACAGAGCACCAACGCAGGTCAAATTACACACTCAAACTAAATCTTTAAATCTTTTAAATCTTTTAAATCTTTTTAAAACTAAATCAGTTATTAATTACCTGCTTTGCCCTAATCTGAAATTAAGATGTATAAACTTCTTTATTGCACAAGTCGTTATTGTGAAATAAATTCATTAAGGTGCAATACTGTAACACACATAACACTGCCATTCTTTGTCATTATTACGTCATTCTTGTAATTATTACGTCATTCTTTGTCATTATTACGTCATTCTTGTAATTATTACGTCATTCTTTGTCATAATTTAAAACTTCTGCATTAACACAATCTTTAAAAACTCACTACTATTCATTTCATTTCTGTAGTTCATATACTGTGGCATACATTACTTTGTATATATTGTTTATAATTTATTATTATTACTATTAGGTACATAGGCTGTTATATTTCTATTTCCATTTTTTACTTATATGTATATACCTAGCTTATATATACATTTATATTCTATATATATATTGTGTTAGATTGTAATATAAGTATTATTTTTATTCTTTAACATTGTGTGAGCACCACATGTCCCCCTGGGGGATCAATAAAGAGACAGAGAACTCTAAAATTAATTCTTATTATTAAGACTTCATAATAAGGGTTTTACTTAAGTAAAAGTACATAAGTATTAGAAGCTAAATGTACTTAAGGGCCCTGTTCACAGTGTTATATACCATATATGCAGAGTTAAGAATCAAAAGCACAAAGTATTTTTAGCTTGGAGATGTATTTGATATATATCAAATCTATTATACAAATAAGCCCCTCCGTCCCTGACAAACTGGCCAATTGAAATCCAGAAGCTTTCTGAGCGGTTTTACTTTTTAGTTACTTCATAAATCAACCTTGCTAGCTCTCTCGCTAGGCTTTCCAAGATTACCGAAACCCCAGCTTTAATAGTGTGTTTGTCAGAGATGAAGAAAAGGAGAAGAAGTTCTCACCTTCCTGTCTGTGTGAGATGGGAGGAAATGCCGAAATTTTCATCCTAATGTTGAATTATTTAAAGACACGTTAGTCAAGCTGATTTACTTATCTCACCAAACAATAACTCAGACTCCAACGGTTCAAATCCAGTTTTGGGGTTATTGAAATGGTTTCCATTATCTACCATTCAGTTAATATTTATGTTAAGAATGATCGCCTACATGTTTTATTTTGAATTGCTGTAAAATACGATGTATCATCAATGCGTTAACAGTTAATTGAAATGTTTAAGTTATTTCTTTCTGCTAACTGTAAGTCTGGCATTTTCGAAAATGTCTACGGGTTGGGAGTGTGTAAATGCAAGTTAAAATATCATTTTGTAAAAGCCAGATATTTTCGCAGTTTCCCTGTGCAAGATATAATAACAGTCAACAAACTGCTTCTATTGCCTCCAGTTAGACCAACATGATGCTTGCATATGTTTGATCTATGCCAAACTCAGGGACCTTTCCTTGTTACTCAGTATAAAAACTCCATCAGGGGGTGCAGGGTTGGGAGGTTCACAGCACTCAGTTTCAACATAAAACCATGTTCCTGTAGCTCTGGTGCTGCTGTTGGCAGCTGGATGTGGAGTCTCTCTGGATTTGTCAAAAGTCAACAGTTCTTCTTTGCATATAACTGATCATTTGTACAAAACATGTCTTTTTTAACATTTAAGTGTGAACGGTTGAACACAGCCAGCCTCGGTGACTGGCAGCGCAGGTCAACGGTTGACCATCCACCTGTCGAGGTCTTGCTTATTTCTTGTTAGCAGATATACACAGCTTGGATCCAGACAGCCTGCAGGGGAAAGGGACTGGGAGTGGATTGGAATGGAAGCTGTTGGAGCCACAGCGATACTACAAAATTCACTTTGGAAGAACAAGTTCAGTATTCACCCATTGGGACTCTTCCAGTAAAACAGTTGACCCTCAAACGGACAGGAATGTTGCAGCCTGAGACTCTGCTGGTGTATTACTGCTGCCAGAAGAGACACGTGAGAGACAATAAACAGGAGAGTCGTACAAAAAACTACCTTCCTCTTATTTATCACAAAGCTCTGGTAACACTGTTCATCTCAGTAATACTAAATCTATTGTGATTATGAGATGTTATTCATGAAAATTCTATCTTTTTAAAAGTCTTATTTTATCTCATTTGAAAAATGTTAAATTTATTTGCAGAAATAGAGGATTAAATTTAAAGCCTCTTTTTCCGTTTTTCTGATCTTTTTCCTTGGAAGTAGACCATCTTAAAATACTATAACACCAATTATACCAAAAATGTTTCTTTAAATAGTATAACAGTTTTCTTCTGAATGTGACCGCACCTCTTTTTTGGTTAGTTGGCAGGATTTTCCATTCAATGAAAGCTACAGCCGAGGTGTTGGAGTAATTTAAAGTTCAAACTCTGGTTTAAAGCAACAACGGTTAAACTGTCTTTATTATAGCCAGTCGCCAATAAGCGAATCATTGTTTTTCCTGCTACAAATGATGAAATGATGAAAGGGGAAAAGCAAATTGATTTGCATATGGTCACAAATCTTTGGCAGATTCC